ACCGATGTGTCCTACATGACTTCTCATTCTTTTAAATTTTGAAGAAATTTAAAAGATGGTATCCTCACCTGAGAAATGAACTTAAAACATGTAAAAGAAAAAAAACAAGAAGTTAAGGTGTTTATCTTGAACTAGCCTTGTGTAGACACTGTCCAACATCTCCTGAAAAAACCTAACCTTGACCCCTCAGTCATGTCTAATTACAGGCCTGTCCCCATTTGCCTCTAAACTACTGGAAAAAATAGTTGAGTCTCAGGTGAAATGTTTCTTGGAGGATCATGCTATCCTAGAGTTATTCCAATCTGGCTTCAAATCTCTCCACAGCACTGAAACTGCTCTACTGAAGGTTTTTAACAACATTTTCCTAGCCACAGACGCAGGTGATTCTGTGCTGCTTGTCCTATTAAACCTTAAATCTGCTTTCAACACCATCGACCATGAGATCCTCATTTCTAGGCTGGAGCTGTGGGTGGGCATCACAGGGTCAGCCCTCAATTGGTTTAGGTCCTACCTCTCTGACAGAACCTTTTGTGTCAACATCAAAGATTTCATTTCAGCATCGGCAGCATTTCAATGGGGGATACCGCAGGGGTCCATCCTCGGTCCACTTCTTTTTCTTTACACCTGTTGCCACTAGGTGCTATTTTCCGCAAACACAACATACCCTTTCATTTCTACGCCGATGACTGTCAAATTTACTTCTCCTGAGGCACAGAGGTACACACTATTAAACCTCTTCTTGACTGCCTGGCTGATATCTGGGACTGGATGGCTTTAAACTTCTTAAGTTTCAATGAGAAGAAGTCTGAAGTCATGTTGTTTCATCCCAATGGCACATTAATGAACCACTGCATTAACCTTTACTCTCTAGCTCTGTTAGAGAAACAAAGAGTCACCAATTTGGGAGTAATGGACTCTTCCTTGAAATTTAACAGTCATGTAATCATGATTGTTAAATCCTGTTTTTTTCAGCTGAGGCGGCTGTCTAAGCTGAAGTCCATATTGTCCAAAAATAATCTTGAGACAGTGATCCATGCGTTCAAAACATCCAGACTCGATTACTGCAATGCGCTTCTGTTTGGAATCAATCAGTCTTCCATTGCACGTCTACAACTGGTCCAAAGTGCTGCAGCCTGATTTTTAACTGGTACAGACCATAGAGAGCACATTACGCCAGTTTGGGCCTCCCTGCACTGGCTACTCATTTACCTTTGGATCCAGTTCAAAATACTCATGTATGTTTTTAAATCACTGAACAGTTCTGCCCCATCTTATCTCACTGATCTTCTGCAGCCATATGTCCCATCACGCTCTCTGAGGTCAGCAGACCAAATGCTTCTTTCAGTTCCAGGAACCCGTCGTAAGCACCGAGGTGACAGGGCTTTCTCTGTTGCAAGTCCAAGACTGTGGAATGAGTTACCCCTGATTGTCAGGCAGGCTCCCACGCTCACAGTTTTTAGGTCTCGCTTGATAACCCACTTTTATTCCATTGCCTTTGACACGGTATGATTTGTTTTGATCCAGTCTGTAGTCCACAGTGTTGGCCATTTACTTATTATCTGCTGCTATTTGTATGTATATTTTTATTTTATGTTTTCCTCTCTGCTGTGCTTGTTTGTTTCTATTGTACAGCACTTTGGTTGGCCTTGTTGCTGTTTTAAGTGCTCTATAAATAAACTGGTATGGGAAAAAAATGTATACATTCAAGAAAAATTGCCACTTTTTAGTGAACATAGCTGATTTATGTATGGAACATTTAAAGTTTAGACATTATAAGCAGATATTTTGTAAACTGGGAAAGTTGGAGATTTTAAATTGGAAAAATTTTGGAAAATAAACCATTTAGCATTGAAAACTGAACCACATGGACCAGATTCAAGCCTCAAGTACAAAGGGTTTTACGACTTTACAAGAACAAAGCTTTGCATGATGATATTTACTGATTCAGAGTATAGGAACAGGCACCAAACTGTTGACTTGCAGGCATTATGTAGTCAAAGTTTTCTTGGGAATAAAAATGGAGGGCAGACTGATTAATGTGTCCAAATCTCTGAATTACTGTATCTTAAAATGTAAACCTGTAAAGAAAAAATAAGAGCCAGACACTGAGTGTGTGTTGGTACACATGCAACAGAAAGATGTCTGTCAAACTGTGTGTGTGACTAACCGTTACCTTTGAGTATTGCTGTTTGGATTCGATAGCAGATCATCTGTGAAATTTGCTCTCCGTGCGTATGCGAGGAGTGCCGTTTGATAAATGGAGCTATGTGCTAGCTCAAGCAGAGGAGCTCAGTTAAAGCATGCGTTAGCTGATTGGTTGTTGGTTTAATTCCAAGGCAGGGCCTAACAAAATCTGCTGAGAAGTCCAACAAACAAGACGCAGAATAAAAAGAGAAATGGATGTGTGAGTTTTCATGTAAACTGTTAGATTTACTTAGTGTTAAACAAGCAG